ATTGGAACAACTTTTGCATTTTTCCATTTATCAGGAAAGTACCTATGCCAAATCAAAACATCTGTTAAATAATTTTACTAAGAAAGACAAGTTACTCTCTGGGAGTTATTTTTTATGAGAATATAGAAAATTCCATCATCACCTGGAGCTTTCATATTATGAAACTTTTTAGTTATAGACCTTACTCCGTCCGGAATCATCAAAAATATTTTCCCAAGAGAAAATATTCAGATAATTAAGAGAAACCTGATTCTCAATAGGACTAGTAAAACCAAAACTGAAATTATGGGAACTCTCGAATTGCTTAGCAAGCTTCTGAGCTTTTTTTTTCCAAATTTGTGATCGTAATTTAACCACCTTCTTTAAGTGCTGGAATAGGCTTTTGAGGTTTTTTCAAAATTTTTGTGAGTTTCCAAAAGGGTTTTAAACTCGGGTCTAATTTAGAAACATTATTTTCAAAAGTTTTGTTACTCAGGGCAGAGAATCGCTTTTTAATTTCTTTTTACAAATACCGCCAGATTACTTTCATGGCAGAATCGCGTGTTCTTGTTGATATTGTTTCTTACGGACATTTTTATGACGGATCAACAGCTGAAGATCGTCGTCTATTATAATTGAATCGAATTTTACCTCGCATTTTGGTACTGAGGCAGTTCTTGCTTCAACTATAAAAGTAATCAGAGATTCAAGAGCAAAATTAATTTCATCTTTGGTATGCAACGGAATGTTTGGATCGAAGTTATATTCCATAAATGTTCGATATTGCTCCCAATCAGCTCTATGGTAATTGAAAGTAGAGCTGTTGGGATTACAAATTGTTTCTTGGGATATTTCAAAAGTTACTGGAAGGTGATCAGAACCGAAGAGCATGGGTAACCAATTGGCTACAAAGTTGACATGAATTAGTTAAGACCAAATAAATAGTTGAAGGATTTCTTGCTGAAGAAAAGCATGTTGGGCTTAGAATATAGAATAGAGTAATAATCTGCAGAACAATCATCAAACAGAATATTACCATTGGAATTGCTTTAAGCATTATTCCATGAGCGGCGTTTTGCATTAAAATCACCAATAATGAAGAATTTAGACATATGACGGGTAAGTTTCTGAAGGTCACCCTTGAAAAAATTCTTTTGCTGGCCTACGCATTGGAATGGCAAACAGGCAGCTATAAACGAAAGTTGTCCAATTTTTGTTTCAATAGAAACACCCAAAGTTTCAAACACTTTGGTTTCAAATGAAGAAAGAATTTTATGTGTAGATATTGGCACATCCCTGGTTGCAACTGACATTCAGAGAGAGTGCGAACGATGGATGGTTCTCCCAGCAGCTGGTGAAATTCATGGTTCATTTACCTCCTCCATCTGCACTCCACCGTAGATGATCCACAACACCTGCCATTCAAAAACACCAAGAGCACGTTACTCCTTCTCGAGCATAGTCCATGTCTCGTGGCCGTAGAGGAGCATCTGCGCCTTGCATATAGTCAATTTCGTGCGGCGGCGAATTGTATTCGACGGAAGCGTCCTCCGGAGTCCAAAGTAGGCACGATTCGGTCACCAGTGAGCCCAAATACACGAACTCGTCGACCACCTTGATTTCGTCACCGTCAATCTGAACTCGGAGTGGGAGGCTAATATTATCTTCCCTAGAACCTCTTCCTCCCAACGCCACCACAGGGTCCATAAAGACGATCATTTCTATGAATGGAATAATTTGCGTCCCTCTTAACCTTATGGTCAGGTTTAAGGAACGTTTCAATTATAACTCGTCTTCATTATCTTTAAGAAATCGAGCATTCCAATTTAGAATATATGAGAATATATAATGCCAAAAATCAATTACTGAATTTCAAAGTCATGACAATATTGTTTGCAAATTTTACTCCAGTTTGAATAGCATCAAACATGGAGTTAGATTTAAGCATATCAGTAATCATGTCAATTAATGATTTCTGTAAAAAGTCCATTTTAGAAGCAGTAATGTTCCTGAGTCAAAATGTTCAAAATGTCCGTTAGAATTACGTTGGTTAGAATTTTTATTTCTACCCGTTGCAATAGCAGCATTGGTAGCTCCATTGACTCGCTGAACATTGTTAGCAGCGAGGGGAGTAGGTATAGATGACAAATTTGAAGCAGGGGTGATATTTGTACCTACGGGTACGAATATAGAATTTGTTCCTCGCTGACCCTTGTTAACAGCAGAGGAATTTGTACTTGGTCGGGAGGGTGGAGCGTTTCCTACCTGTCCCTTAGAACGAGATTGTAGGATCGCTTTGCGAGTCTTACATTCCCAAAAATTGGATTTGTGGTTTTCACCACAATTTGAACAGTTAAATTTCTTAGGATCTTCCTTCACAGGACAGTTGTCCTTTGCGTGAGAGGAATCACCACAATTCATGCATTTAGCTGGCATGTAGCAATTTTTAGTTCCATGACCCCATGCCTGGCATTTACGGCACTGGGTGATGTTTTGGAAATTTCCTCCAGTCTTCCTGAAGTGTTCCCATTTCACTCGGACATGGAGCATAAGGCTAGCTTTTTCTAAGGCCTTAAGATTGTTTAGTTCACTACACACAAAAAATAATCGTTAATAATTAAAAAAAAAACCATTGGTAAAATTAAAAGTTAGCGTTGGTTCTTTTTGGTATTTAGCATTCAAAACTAAAGTCCCCTAACTAACTGTCAATTCAACTTTTAAAAGTTGAAACTTTCAAATCGAATTGTAGAACTGTCAAACTGAAAACCTATAGTTTTTAAATTGACGTGTAACAAATTTTAATTCAAATGATAAGCATTTTAATCGCAATTACATACGTTTTTATCTTAAATGTAAATTAATTTTAAATCAATTACATTTATTTTTCAAAAGAAATAACCAGAGAAATTCCTTTTATTCTAATTTATTTTCAAAGCAGCAGAAGTGACGCTCGCGATGCTTTTACAGTATGAATTGTATTATTTTACAGATTGTTGATCAAAGCTGGAATAATTTGCTCCTGACGGACTCGGTGTGGGGGTACTTGAATGAAAGTGGCATCTTGATCGGGGTGGGAGTCGAGGTGGGAGTAACCTTCCTTTCTGGCAAGACTGAGGCTCCTGAAAATTAAAACATCTCAATTAGAACAATATGAAATTCATTGAAAATTATACCAAATTACCGTCAATTCCAGCACGCCATCATTGCCTCCATGTTATGATAGAGTTTATGTTTCATCTATGTTTGCTTCCCTCCGTTGGCTGCTTTGACGATCACCTGCAATCCGATGAAAATGAATTAGCGGTGGCGTACCACTTTTTGGGAACCGATTTCAGTTCGAAAGAGATACCGACGGAAGAGTAATGTGGAAACGTAGAAGACACAGTAATATGGTTTATTTTTCACGCTTTCAAATTTAGAGGCAAACGAAGGTCAAGTGATGCCAAAATCTTCGCAATGACGAGGAAATTTTGAAAGATCTGCGACTTTTATTTAAAAAAAAATAACTTTTGAAATTACAAGTTGAAATTGAAAGAAACACTTTTAATGTTTTGATTTTGTATATTTTCGTTGTTAAAACTACGAAATTGGAGAAACTTTTAAATTGAAGTTTCATTATTTTGATAGGAACAATTTTTGTTCTTTGTGTGTAGAGTTGAAGTGAACTAAATAAAAATCATTAGAATCGCCAGGGCGGGATTTCATTTTCATTTTGATTACTTGAAGTGGCTAAACTCCAAGTAATTTTGCCAGTTCATCTTTGATCTGATCCAGGGATTCACCACTGGGCAGTTCTTTCATGACAACCTAGAATACACGTTCAGTTTTGGTGACGTAAGTAAAAAAAATTGTGTTGCTTCTCAGTAAGATACTTGAGAAGACATTTATATCCGTCCAAGGTTTCACCTTGGCCAACACGGCATTCATCCCGACGTCCAATTTGTAGTGAAAACTTAACTTTCACGAAGTTCAAAAGTTCCATGCGAAGAGCATGGAAATCGGAAGTGGTTATCACAATAGAGGGAATCTTTTCCTTCTTGGCATTAAGCCGGGAAAGTTTACTAGAATTTTTCTTGGATGATGGATCATTCTCATCATCCGTGAGCAAATCAAATTGATTGCTTAAATTAATTTCATCATAAGGAGGATCAAGAGTTTGCCCTTTTTATTTGCGCTTAGTAAATTTTTAAAAATGGCGGCAGTAAATTTTTAAAAATGGCGGCAGTAAATTTTTTATCCAAATCGACTTCCAAGCAGATTACTATCCGAATCTTAAGGGATCGAAGAGGAATTTTCCAAATCGATATCCAAGAAGGATTACCTCGGGTACGGTCCAAACAAGGATCGAAGACGAATAAGAGTTGAACAAGGTAGAAATTTTACAGGTTGAGCACTGAAAAGTGCTGTTTAAATTTGTTGTAGCTTTAGGTAGTAGTAACACTTCCTTCAGCTAAAAGCAAATAGATCCGCACGGCAAGAGAGCACGATGCGGACTGTATCTGTTTGCTCTTTTTGTCTTTCTATCAAAATATACCTTGAGCTTGATGTACAATTATATTTTTCCTTACACGATCTCTCCCTAACTCGATCTCTTCCTAACCATATTATATAACCAAAAACAATCGACCTTTTCATACAAGCTTTGTCTTGACTTCCCCAAGGGGCCCCAGGCTACTTCAAAAGCTCAATATCGAGTTAGGGAAAATTGACTGTATATAATTGATACAAACGTATAATAATTATCCTGTATAACAATTCAAAAATCTGCATTGTATCTACAATATGTTTTGAAATTCTGTATATTTTTTGTATTAGCTTATTATTGAATTTTAAATACCTGTAGTTTATTTGTATTCTCTATCATGTTTGAATTGGTATCTATAAATCTGATATATATAATACAGCTGGTAGCTCTGGATGGAATATTCTCCCTAAACCCTATTATGATTTGTCCCAGCTCAACGTTATTGCGAAAAAATAATTCGAGCACGTTGCTCTTCGTTTAATTCTCTAATCTGCAGCAAGGAATACCACAAATGAGACCTATGATGGGGAAACCATTGGCCGGCGTGGCACAACCACCACAACAAGTCGTGATTCTTGGTCAACCAGGGCTAGTACAGAATCAACCCCAACAACAGCAACAGTCAGTGGCAAACACAAATGTACATTTGGACCCATTTGGAGGACTTTAAAAATAATCACAAATAAAGTTCGTATGATCTTCTTCATTACAATGAATGCTATGTAATTATTAACCAGAAAAATTCTCAAATAATAACACTGAGGGAACCGATAAGTATATTTAATATTTATAGAATGTCGTTTATGAAGTTAATGTAAAATTGTAAAATGAAGAAAATGTTTAATAAACGTTAAAAGAAAAATATATCTGTCAGTGAATGTTGAACATACAGATGTGAATGAATACATAACGACAATATTATTCATATCTAGGTTTGAATTGCAACTAATAATAATTTCATCTCAAATTTTCAATAGTCTATAGATCAATAAAAGTTTCAAACCAGAAAAATTCCTTTAATTTTGCTATTCATAACTAATTTTGAAACGCGTTGTGATTTGTGATTGAAAATAGTTTTTAATTACAGTTTAATTTAAAAAGCTCATATAAATGTGTTCGGTAATTGATCAGTCGTAGGGTACAAAGGGGCAAGATTGCCACCATGGCAAGATGAGCACCCTTAAATCTAACATAATAAGTCCTGCATTTTTGAGAACTGCATCACGTACCCTTAAAACAATGATTCTTAAATGCAACGTTCCGAAAATGATTGAGAAACATTCAATAACTACCGATAAATTTCCGAAAATATGCCGGCGAAAAAAAAAATCCTTTGAATTTGCTATATCCCTTTTTTGTTTCATTCGTTACAACTTTGAATTAATGTTTCAACTTCGCGCTGGTATTATATTTTGATAAACTAAGGAATATAATTCTTGAAAACTTTAACATGTCATATAAGAACAAATATTGCTATGCAGCCATTCCATAGCAAAACGGTATAGTGGTTCTCACAATTTCGTTAAAAATGGTAGTTTTGTTCCTTATGGCAAAATATTAGACCCGTATTTTTTTTATTTTGTCATTAGGATGACCATTTCCATGTTAGGGTGGTCCAAAAAATCGATATAAAAAATTGAGATTTTGTATTTTTTTTTATTTATTTTTTATTGCTTGTCAATGGATAAAATATATACCCCAATGACAGATAACTATATCAAAGCTTATATATTTTTATTTATTTTTTATTATAGACACTTAACATCTAATGGTGCATTCATGTCTCGAAATAAGTAATTAAAATGTATTGTTCAAATTGGTATCTTTGGAAGGCTATTAGTTTTTTCTCTTCTTCCGCATCGTTACGTAGTACTGTTTGCAGACAAGAAGGGTCAATGTTGTATTTTGCACGAGCAGATTTTGATTTTTTACATGCTCAAATGTTTTTAAAAAAATCTGAATTTGATGCCATTTGTAATAATAGCATGCTATGGTCCATAAAGACATGTTTAAAAAAAAATCTGTATTTACACCAAAAATTGTGATTTTTTAAGTATGTCGTTTTATTACCTATAGCTTGAAACGGATAATGTGATTGAAATCAAGTCGATATATTGTATCGTTGTCGAGAAATCGTTAAAAACGTACTGTGTAAATCGCAAAAACCGTGTAAAAAAACCGCGTAAAAAAAACCGTGTAAAAAAGATTTCAGTGTATGTCGAACGTTTATGACGGTGCGGCAGCATTCACATACGGGTAGGTCTGTTCTATTGATCAGGCACTCGTGGGTAAGTCTGGTATGTCCGATCCTTAACCGGGTTAGGATCCGTTGGTCTTCTGGATTTTTTGTGTCATTAATGGTAAATTTTATCTCACGGAGCTTAACATCCCGTGATGTATGACAAAGATGGTCCTGAGTAGTTCCACATAGATTCGCAAATCGTTTCGGATCGATGTTTATAGAATTACTTGTTATTTTACACAGTTGTTCATTACTGTCCAAAATGTAATTTTACACATTTGGTTCCCTAGTTTTGTACACGACTAACACTTGAAAAGGGCCTATGCAAAAATGATACGCATCAATAGAAAAAAATATATCTCGCGACCGATTTGTTTGATCGAGATGGTGTCTTGCGCGAAGTTGCGGACAAGTATTGTGCCTTTCAAGAAAAAATATAAACTGTAAAAAATTATTTTGTTATTTACAAAAAAAAAAAAATCAAAATTATAAAAAAAAAATTAAACTACTCAAATTACATTTTTTTTATATTTATATTGTTGTTCACGATAGCGAATTTTCTTGGCTTAACCATCGTCGCCTAGCATCGCGTCACTCAACAACCATTCTACAAAGCAAAGCCGGTACGACGTCTATTCTATTTCCTTTCCCTTTCCTCATTCCTTTCTGTAACACACACACACACTAACCCCGAACAGACCGCGGGAGATCGGTCACCCAAGCTAACACTTTTTTTTGTACACCGCAAATCAAACGACGTTCCTGATTGGTGGACCAATCGAACGAGCTGTTGTATCGCAACGAATTTTGTTTCAACGAACGATATTTCTAGACTAACATTTGAAAGGGGCGGAAGAGCTAAAATGTAAACAAACCATATTTTGCCACATATAGAGAGAATAGTTCACAAACTACTCGGTAAATACGAAAAAGTAGAAGAAAATATCATTCAAATTATCAAAAACGTTTCTTCTTACATGGCGTATTTCCAACTTTCAAATCTATGATAAATCTGGTTGTTACGCCTTGCACCAGAACTACGAATTATATGGTTTTAATATGCCAAATGTTTTGATTCTGTAGTATCTAGTCACGCCCGATTCATTTGAAATGCATCCGATTGATAGTTCACGTTTAAACAACGAACAAAAAGCAGACCAAAAAATCTCCGGGCGTAATTCCACTCTCACAAAATTTGCGAACGAAGAACCAAGGCGGAACAACAAACAAAAAATCCCGAGGGTGTACTTCCACGGCGTATCACCAGTGTTGGCAGTTCAAAGGGAGGAAGATCTGGGGGGTAACAACATGTATGAAATTATCAGGGCGTATGATGTTTTCTTCTCAATTTCACGACAAAGAAAACTTTTTTTGAGTTTTTAGTGATGCACGATGATAGATTACACTATTAACTATATGTCAAGCTTATAAAATCAACCAGAAAATGGAAAGTCGTGAAATAGGATTAATTTTTAGGTCAACAAAATTCAGAAGCGATTTTCTCGATATGGTCATTTTGGAATTACGCCCTTTTCAAATGTTAGTCTAGATTTAAGGAAGTGTTGTCTAGAAGAATAAGATATAAGTAATTTGTATTCTATACAGTGTAGAATAAATTGAAACAGCAAAGAAACAGTGTTGAAGTTCTTTCAAACCAGAGCCTTGGGGAGTGCAGCTATCTGCTGCTCGTCTTTGTCGCCGAATTGAACTGTTGCAAATTGAGTTCTGCACTGCTGCTGCTGATTGATTCCGTATCCGCTTGGAGGACCTTTCACTGCTTTGTAGTTCTATAGTTTCTGGCTGAAGCTGCTATTTTGCCACAGTTCCTCGCTACTGTTCCGCCTTGAAAGAGTTTAGCTTTAGTTCTTTTCTTTTTAGGGACAGTAGACGATTGAAGGGTATAAATAGTTCAGCGCCAGTGATGATTCCTCGAAAGGTCCTCTGAGCCGTTCGAAATTGGTGCTGGTGAATATCGAGCATCCAGTACCCCGCTGTCCCATCGTAACGTTGGCTAGTGGAGCCAACAATTGTAGTTTAGATAAAGTGCTACTTATTGACAATGTGCGTTTGCTGGGCAACTCATAAAGAAAAAGTGCTATTTTCCAAAATACTACCTACAGTTATAGAATGTCTTAGAAATGGTGTTATCATTAAAACACATTAAATTTACAACAAAAAAGCTCATAATGCTCATCCCTCCCCATGGACATGGAGGTTGACGGTACTGAAGCAAAGGGTTATGTTTAATTTCTTTATATTTGCAACGATGATGATTTCCTATAGTGACACATATCACCTTCTTAATGCTTCAGTATGCCTGAAACGATTAATTCTTGGTTGTTAATAGAACTTCCTTGATGAAATCGGCTGCTTCATGCAGACTGAGCAATTCTGATTATAGTATCAGATTTGTTCTGTATACAGAGGAACTGGGAGGGCTTATTAGAAACTTCTCACCAATAAAATAATGCTCTTCTAGTAAATTGTGCATACCACTTTATTAAAATTTTATTTTATTTTAGCATGTTATTTTTGTTACAGTCAATTGGCATTAGCATACGATACAACAGATTTAATATTACTTGCTCGTTTTTGCGTAAAATAATCAATAATACCATTGAAAGTTTTTTCAAGTTTTTGTGATCTGATAGATTTCCCAGTTTGGTTAGAAGTTTCGAAGCCAACACATGTCCACAGGCCTAATAGAAAGATAGACAGAAAAAGTGTATCATGAAGAATGGTTGCTTGCAGGGTTGCTTCCACTCACTTGCTATAGATGAGTGATTTTCGGAGTTTTGAATTCGTTAGATGTTGTAATGGGGATTTGTGTTTGTTGGATACGGGAAGAGATTAGAGAGCGGGTGTTTTACGCATAGGGTCTGTCAGTTTCGCTTTCAGAGAGAATTTCTTTTTGAGATTTTAGTAGTCACGTTTTGTTTGTAGTTTATATTTTATTTATTTCATGTAATTATCGTAAATAATATTTATTCAATAATAGATAATTTATCCATATACTCAATAATATATTTACGAATGACTATAATTTGGATACCTAACAATTGGACAGAATCACTAGCAATAATAGGTTGCGGAGTGTTCGCCTTCGAAAAGATCGAAAGACATTAAATTGGAGGCGGATTCTGGTACGGAATTACAGGCTGCGGTTTTGAGCAACTTATCGTCATAAAATGAAAAATTACATTGAGGTAGTAGTCAACAAATGTGAATAGTAAGTTAGATATTTTATGGTATGAACTTTTGCAACGATTTTTTTATCGCGGTTAAAACTAGGAGATGAGGAAGAAATATAATCATTTGGTGCAAACACACAAACGCACACACCCACACACTGATACACAAACACATAATGACATTAGACAAGAAAACATCCAGATATTAAAAATGACGTATGAAATGAGAAGAAGACATAGACAAAGACAGACCAGCGATTACCGAACCATAAAGATTTTCAAGAAGATTATGTTTAATCAAGATCGTGAATCCGGTGTTTAATTGGTCACCATAGACTAATCCGTAGTCACTTGAACATTTTTCTCATCAACCCCGATCATTGCAATCCTACGGGGATAAAAAAAAAACAAACAAAAAAGCTCATAATGCTCATAATTGCCCAAAGTTGTTATTTTCGAGATACTCTGAGGTTAAAATTCACTTAACGCATAATTTGAGCAATTATCACCCCTTTAAGATGTTGTTCGTGAGTGTTTAACCTTGAAAAAATTTTTTTACGAAAAGCCCAATCCA